AACATATCATAATACATACACACAAATGGGTTGAATTAAGCGTGCACAGGTAACATTATTTTTGTCAATTTTTTTAACTTTTTAGTTCTTGTCTTTGCGATTTGAATGTTTTAACACAGGTGTCGTTGTATGTGTAATTTGTAAGGCCCTGCCAAATTCACTGTCCATTTATGTCAATTTCATGGTTATAGAATTTTAAACATTGTAAATGTCATTATTTCAGCTATTAAAATTGGAAATTTCAGTGTTGTAGAACTTGACCCAAAAAGAACTTGTGGGCAGGGAGGTGCAGTACTGATAACCTAACTTCTGTGCTAGTGCTAGCGCTAGCAGTAGCATTGCCTTCAGAACTGAAGAATGGCAAGCTGCTGGCTGAGATACCAGCTCTGAGGGCCGAGTCACCAAAAGCAGCACCACAGAAGAATGGAATGATATGGTATTGCCACCCTTCCTTCTGCTCTGCTACCTGCAGAGTCAGGTCCTCAGTAAATAGCTGCTACTCTCCAGCTGCAATTCCATACCATGCCAGCCTTCTGTCACTGCTCTCTGGTCACCCAGCCCTGAGGGTAGCATAGTAGAAAAGGTGGCAAAACCATAACTCCTTAGTGCCCCCATGCACCCCACCCCCACACCGTCCTCCTTGGTCCCCCCATGCACCCAACCCCCCGCTCAGTCCTCACCCTCTTAAGGGAATCTGCGCTCACACTCAAAGCTTTTCCTGGACCCCAGCGCTCCCCGAGGGGAGCTTCTCCCCACAACAAACCCTCTGCCCACGGAGCCAGCAGGACAAGAAGATGCTCAGTCCTCACCCTCTTAAGGGAATCTGCGCTCACACTCAAAGCTTTTCCTGGACCCCAGCGCTCCCCGAGGGGAGCTTCTCCCCACAACAAACCCTCTGCCCACGGAGCCAGCAGGACAAGAAGATCTCACCTTGGTTTGCTGCTCCACTCAGGCCCAGGCCTGGAGAACAAAGGAGACAAGCTGACCACAAAGCTAAACCACCCTCTGTCCTCTACCAGCCCACACGCCCCCTCGTCAGCCCCCCACTTCCTCCATATCCTCTGGCAAGTGCCCCCCCCCCCCTCTCTTTTGTGCGAAAGAGGGGGTGGG